TTCGGGACTTTTTTGGGATTTTTGGGATTGTCAAGATTTTTCTGAAACTGACTTACTATCAACTGTTCCTCAAGCAAAAGAGAAAAGGTAAATTTCTGGAATTGCCAATTCATGAAGAATCCCAAAATAAATCAGAAAATCCAAGAAAATCCCTAAATCCACAGCAATGTCCTCTTATAAATGAAAGAATTTCGAGCTAAAATTTCCAGCATATGTAGAGCTTTTGATCCTTAAAATATCCTAAAAGTTTCAATACAAACGGATGTTACCTTCTCAAGATAATGAACGTCCAATAAAAGTGGATTTTCTGTCCAAGATGTGAAATATGAGTATTTCTTGCGATCGCATTATCTTCAGGAGATAACATCCGTTGGCGCTGAAACTTCCAGAATATTTTAACAACCACGAAGCTTACATTTGGAAAAAATTTCAGCTCGAAATTTCTGTATTTACAACAGGATATTGGTGTTGGATTTCGGGATTATCAAAATCCAAAAAATTCCAAAAAAATCCCGACAATCCCAAAAATCCCAAAAAAGTCCCGAAAATCCAAAAAATCCAAATCCGCCGTTTCCCCCTTGGTCACGACTCACTGTCCTTCTCATTTCTTCTTTTTATTTTTATTTTCATCTCTTTTCCCTCTGTCTGACTTCTCTCTCTTTGTCTCTGCATCACATATTAACTTCAGTTGAATCTGAAACAGATATACTCTGGACATGCATAGTCGCTTATAAGCATCATTCATAAGAGTGGCAAAAGCCACTCGATTCAGTTTCTCATTACACCAAGCACCTACAAGGTTTCAGTGACTAGAGACAGATACGCTTTCTTTTTGAACAAACATCATTACTTCTGGAAGGCGTTATTCTTCTATCTTTTCCTTTCCCTGCCATGCTTTCATGTTTCTCTAACGCTAGGTAAATATAAGGTTTCAACTTGCTACAAAAAAGTTATTTCCATTTTCAACAACAATTATTTTTTCAGGAAGGCGGTTTTCTACTACACCATGGGGATCGCAATCCAGCGATTTCCATGCCGGTCGCAAGTCCGGGAAAAGGAGGAGCGTTAGACGGAAGGGGTGCAGATACCGCCGTCTGTAAAAAGACAAGACGAAAGAAACCAACTATGTGTGATCAATACAGAAAATCATACCGGCTCGGACGTCGCCCGGGTGAACAAGGTCCGCGTCCTCTGTCGAGGAACCAGGACAGAGTCGAAAAATTGGCGACTGGAACAACAACAACAACAACAACAAAAGATTCAGCAACAGCAAATGCAACAACTACGAATTCAACAACAGCAAATGCAACAACTACGAATTCAGCAACAGCAAATGCAACAACTACGAATTCAGCAACAGTAAAAGCAAAAGGCTCACCAACAACAACCAAGACGACAACAACAGATCCAGGAGGAGCCAAAACAAGAAAAACAAATAAAACAACTACGAATTTAACAACAACGAATTCAACAACAACGAATTCAGCAACAACGAATTCAGTATTAGTAAAAACAAGAGATTCAGTAACAACCAATACCACGGGAACATCAACGAGACCAGCAAGGATAACAAACAAATGAACAATTACAATAACAAAAGTTCCCAAATGCAAAACACAAAAACTAAAGATAACGAAGAACAGGCTCACTGTTGGAACTTGGAATGTCCGAACGCTGTGGGCAGCTGGAAAACTTGATCTGTTGAGACATGAAATGAATCGATACAGATACGACATTATCGGTATCTCAGAAGTTCGTTGGACGGGTAAAGGAGAAACACCAAGAGGTGACTTCATCTGGTCAGGAGAAAACAGCAACCACATAAGAGGTGTTGGAATCCTTCTCAGCACAAAAGCCAAAAAATCGCTCATGAGCTACAATCCAATCAATTCCAGAATAATCACGGCAAGATTCAATGCAACACCATTTAATGTAACAATAATTCATGTATACGCTCCAACATCCGACTCATCTGAAGATGACATCGAAACATTCTACGACTGTGTTGAGGAGGCTATAGCAAAAGTGCCCAAAAAAGATGTGATCATCATCACGGGTGATTGGAATGCAAAGGTGGGTACTGATAATACCGGTTGGGAGTCCGTCATGGGCAGATACGGCTATGGAAATAGAAATGAACGCGGTGAACGACTATTGGAGTTTGCTGCAGAACACAATCTATTCATTTGTAACACAAGATTTCAGCAAAAATCAAATCGGAAATGGACATGGGAATCACCAGATGGCATTCAAAAAAACATGATCGACTTAGTGATCGTTCAAAAACGGTGGAAAACATCTGTCACTAACTGTAGAACATTCCAAGGTGCAGACATTAGCTCAGATCACTCATTGGTGCTGTGCAATATCAAATTAAAACTGAAAAAACTGAAAAACAAACCACGACACAACCAACGATATGATATGAGCCAACTTAAAGACCAAACAACCAGACAATCATATCAAGCAAGAATCGAAGACAACTTAAAGAATATTCACTCAACATGCAATCTAGATGAACACGCAGCACAAATTGAAAAAGCAGTCAAAGAAGCACTACAAGCGACCGTCACATTGAAAAAAACGTCAAAAAGCCCTGGATCTCCGATCAAACATTAGATCTGGCAGATAAGAAAAGAAAAGCAAAACAAATCAAACATCTCTCAGCAGACAGCCTCAAAGAATACAAAAACCTGTGTAACAAAGTGAGAAAATCGGCACGACAGGACAAAGAAAAGTGGATACATGATCAATGCGAAGAAATTGAAAAAAGGACTACAAGTTGGCAACAGCAGAAAAGCGTACAGTTTGGTAAAAATCTTAAAAAATAAGTACACACCAAAATTGACCGTCATAAAAGAACAAGATGGCACAATGCTACAGTCCAAAGAGCACATCAAACAAAGATGGACACAATACTGCAGCACTTTATACGAAGACAAAGGAGGTGGGGAAGAAATGGTGAAGGAACTTGAAATCATAACCCCTCCTTTTAACGACAATACAAATGAAATCTTATATGATGAAGTAAAAGAAGCAATACACAAACTAAAGAAAAACAAAAGTCCAGGAATCGACGAAATCAAAGCCGAAATACTTCAAGCTGGAAGCGAACAACTGGCGCACAAACTA